AAACGGTTTGGTTCGGTACGATGTCAGAGATTAGTTATGACACCTGCATATCATGAATATGTTGTTTAATATAATTTCATAAGTAAACCTATGGGTCATAATTATTCATACCCATGCAGTGTCATAAATACATCTCTGTACAGGGTGTGGATTTCCAACATGCTGCATTCCTTGATGTATTTTTGTAAAGGGACATCTTGTCCCTATTTTAGAACATTATTCTTTTTCAGAACATAACATATTTATTGATATAATGTATACAGTGTCATAACTACTCTCTGCTATCTCTGGCATTTATAACAAACCAATCCGTTTTGGTTTAATATTGAGCAATTTATGGTTATTCAAAAAGTACATGTATCACTACCAACACAATGTTATGGGTGAGCGAGCTGACCGACCCAAGATGGCCGCCATGTTCAACAGACGAGACATCCAGCCTTTATATATAATATCTATGGTGTCACCCCTGTGATTGTTTGCCTTGTCCCTGATTGTGTCCAATCACCTGCACCTTCCCAGTGTATTCAAGCAATGTCTGTCTCGTGTCCCTGGCCATTTCAATCAGGAGAGACTTCTGAACTTTTACAATGATTTATTAACACTAGCCAAAGTATTAAAAGTGCAAAGTTCGTTGGGGCTTGGACTCCATCCAGCTGTAGGATAGACAAGGGGCCGAAATGCCGAGATCGGATAACGCTTATCCCCCTTTGGGAGTCCACACAGTGGTGGTGGTGGTAGAGAATAAGTTGTCGTATTCCCCTGCTGATTGGAGGTGTCAGGGGTGGTGGTGGGTTGCGTCTCGTGCTTGCTGAAATGACAACTGACAGCAACAGAGATGAGTACAGCTTTTAACATTGACAGCCCTGACACGATTGGTTTATAGAACTGTCCCCCCCACCCAATCATCTTATGGAATGCCTACATAGACGGCGGGGGCCTTATGGCAGGAATTAGCTTCTCCAGTCATCCTGACCAAATTCATGCCTAAGCTTCAATGAATGTTGTTACGTTGAATGTGTTTTGTCTGCCCCTGTCCTGATCCCTGGTTTGCCCCAAGGCATTTTGTTAGATAAGCTTCCCGCTCCCGCTGGGCCGCAGCGACATCCCACTCCCGACATCTGACGCCCGTGCCGGCTCCCCAACGCCTGATTCCGCAGCCGCCGATTTCAACTCCTTGTCCCCTGTCGCTGGTGCCCCCGAGCCCGCCCCCCTGAGACTTGCTGCAGGTGCCCCCGATCCCGGCTCCCCGCTTCCCTGTCATTGGTGCCCACGAGGCTGGTCCCCTGTCACCTCGCAGCCTAGCAGCTCCTCCCCAACGCCGCCGCCGCCTGACTCCACCGCTTGCGGCTCCCTGATGCCTGCCGCCCGTCCCGGCTCCCCAAGGCCTGAATCAAATCGTTTACATGGCTCCAAGTTCTCCACATATGCTTGAAAGGCGCTTCAGTGAGGACAGATTTCCTTCAACAATGAGGATGTTGGAGGAGCTGCTGCCTGAGGTCAGTGGAGTGTATTTTTGTGCTGTGAGTCATTGTTGAGATACAGGTGGCTTGAAACGCTGTACAAATAGCCTCAGGAATAGAAAATCACTGTTTTTCCACAGAGGGAGCGTTGGACACACACTCCTTTAAAGCTCCACCAAGGGAGCGCGGTGGACTGGACTCTTACCAAGGCCTTTGTTAGCATTGCATTATTTGCAGCTGTTTACCCATGGCTTAAGAGTGTTATCGTTCCTTATTAATCAAATACTTAGTGATTAGTTTTATATACATATTTAGCAACATTTATTCGACTATGAGACTGCATTATAAACTACCGATGGACATTCAAATTATTGGTGTATTTACTTTATGTATTTTATTGAATGAGAATGTGTTACATCAATATGTACTGTTTCCCCCCACTGCTACTGTACTTCCAACACTGTACAAATTGTACAAATGTACAAATCCAACACATGATTCATTATATTATTCCTGACCCTGAGGGTTCTGTTCAGGTCTCTGTCGTCCTATCTGCTCTCACAAGGTGGCACAACATATGTCTGGGGAACAATATAACTCCACCCAACAAGAAACAAGTTTCCTGGTGGGAGGGTTCTCATATTCAAACACAGTCTACAGTGACAGAAATACAGTACCAGTAACAAGGAGGACGCAAGATGATCACTATCTTCTGCTTAGCCCTTAATGTTATGACAATTTCAGGTAAAAGTCCTGTTGAGCGTTCTTTCACATTTAAGTTGACCATGATTGTAAATTGTTATTTGTGGATGCTGTTTCCGCAGGTGCCTCTCCCAGCGACCATGTGCACCAGACTCCATCTGAGATGTTCACCAGACCTGAAGGAACAGCCCATATCTACTGCTCACACAGCATTAAGGACTACAATAAAATCCTCTGGTACAAACAATCCAGGGATGACGCGATGCTGTTCCTGGGTTACATGTTTGCAAATAATAAAAACCCAGAGGTTGGACTGGGTGTGAATATGACAGGGAGTGCAAATCAACATCAGACCTGCACATTGACAATGGAGAGAGTGGCCCTGAACAGCAGTGCTGTGTACTTCTGTGCTGCGTGGTCACACTGTGGAGCATATGGCTGCTCCTCGGTACAAGAAGCTCCTCATCACACATCGTTCCTCTCCCCATAGAACAGCTCTCAGCTCCTCACACCTGTGCTCCGTCCTCAGCAAATCTTTTTACAGATCTTTATACTGAACCAGGCACAGAGCTGTGCCTGGTTCAGTACCTGCCTCTGCTCTTCTCCCTGTACACCAACAGCTGCACCTCCAGCCACCAGTCCGTCAAGCTCCTGAAGTTCGCAGATGACACCACCCTCATTGGACTAATCTCTGGTGGGGACGAGTCCGCCTACAGGTGGGAGTCTGACCATCTGGTGTCGTGGTGCAGTCAGAACAACCTGGAGCTCAACGCTCTAAAGACAGTGGAGATGGTTGTGGATTCCGGCGGAACAGAGCCCCACCCTCCCCACATCACCCTGTGTGACTCCCACGTCACTATTGTGGATGCCTTCCGATTCCTGGGCTCCATCATCACCCAGGACCTCAAGTGGGAGCTGAACATCAGCTCCATCACCAAGAAGGCTCAGCAGAGGTTGTTCTTCCTGAGGCGGCTGAAGAAACATAACCTGCCAAAGACGATGATGGTCCACTTCTACACGGCCATCATCGAGTCCATCCTCTGCTCCTCTATCACCGTCTGGTACGCTGCAGCCACAGCCAAGGACAAGGGCAGGCTGCAGCGTGTCATCCGCTGTGCAGAGAGGGTGATCGGCTGCAATCTGCCGTCCCTGCAGGACTTGTTCGCTTCCAGGTCTCTGAAGCGTGCTAAAAAGATCGCGGCCGACCCCTCCCACCCCGGACAAAAACTGTTTGTGCCCCTTCCATCTGGCAGGAGGCTGAGGTCCATCAGGACTACGACCTCCCGCCACACGAACAGTTTCTTCCCGTCGGCAGTCGGGCTCATCAACAGAGCCGGGTCCCCCACTGACTGACCATAACATTCCACCAGTCACTCCCCTTCACACTGCACATGCCACTTTAACAACAATTCATCACTTTGTCACTTGTCACTTTGTCTCTTGTCTGTTACTTGTTTGTTAGTGCACTTTATGCTTAATATTTTTCTTCTTTACTTTTTAGTATTTAAAATTTTTTAACTTTATTCTCTTGTTTTATACTAACCCATAGCCTTAGCCTTATTCTACTAACCCATTGCATTATCATTTCATTCCACTTGATTCTATTACTTGTGCACTGTTGTCTTGTCTGTCTACTGTCGCGCACTAATCGCCAAGACAAATTCCTTGTATGTTTGACATATTTTGGCTAATAAGTGTATCCTGATTCCTGTGTCGGGTTGGTTGACAATGACGCCGCCTCACCAATGACTTGGGAGGGTTCAAAGGAGGAGTTTGGGGGATTCTTTGTATAGCTGCTTCAGTCGTTGCAACAACATAGGAGGGATCCAAATTAGATCACTTTTTCTGAGGTATTACCAAACATCCAGAAGAAACACAAAATGCACACCATCTTCATTTGCATTACATTTAGATATTTTATGGTCTCAGGTAATGTACTAATGAATTCAAGATTTCCTGTAAATTCGTTTCTATTTGCTTGTTTCCCTCCAGTCACATTTTCTGTTGCTATTTCTGACGTTGTTTCCGATTATCTTTTATTCATTTCCCAACAGGCTCGTCTCTCAGTGACCAAGTTCACCAGACTCCAGCTGATATTTACAACAAACCCACAGAAGAAAACGTGACCGTTCACACAGCATCGACACCCACAACCAGATCCTGGCTTAATTCAATCCAATTCAATCCATTTTATTTTGTATAGCCCATAATCACAAATTACAAATTTGCCTCAGAGGGCTTTACAGTCTGTATACATACAACATCCTCTGTCCCGAAACCCACCATCGGCACAGGAAAAACTCCACCAAAAAAAGAAAATACCCTTCCAAGAGGGAAAAAAGGGAAGAAACCTTAGGAAGAAAGTCAGAGGAAGGATCCCACTCCCGGGATGGACAGACTACAATGGATGCCATGTGTACAGAATGAACAATATATAATACATGCAATTCCTGTGACAGAAATGATTCAAGTAATTGTGAGTAGTAAGCCAGGCGCACAGCAGGACCACTGCAGAGGCAACCACCATCAGATAGAACCACCATCCACAGAAGCCTGTGGGGAGGGAGGGCACAGAGACTTTAGGAGAGGATAATGTTGGTTTACGAGTACAGTAATATGATTAATATCTAATATAATAATGATGATGGCAGCAGCAGGCGTCAGCATGGCCGCGGTAGGTGTCAGGACCAGGGTCCCGAAGGAACCTGATAGGGGAGAAAGCACACAAAAAACTCCTGGAAAGAAGCTGAATTAGTCATGTGCATTAATAAAACGTGAATTATGGTAGAACGAGAGCGTGAGAGAGGAGCTCGGTGTGTCCTAAGAATTCCCCCGGGCATTCTAAGCCTATAGCAGCTTAACTAAGGGCTGGTTCCCGGGCTAACCTGAGCCAGCTCTAACTATAGGCAGAATCAAAGAGGAAAGTTTAAGTTT